AACGTATTTTATTTTCTTCAAAATGAAAAAAAAGTGAAAAAAGAAAAAGAAAAAAAATACAAAAAAGATTAAAATATTATAAAATTATATTCAATCGTCGTTTATTCGAATATAAAAATACAACTCGTTACTGTAATAATACGAACGTATTTTATTTTCTTCAAAATGAAAAAAAAGTGAAAAAAGAAAAAGAAAAAAAAACACAAAAAGATTAAAATATTATAAAATTATATTTAATCGTCGTTTATTCGGATATAAAAATACAAATCGTTCCTGTAATAATACGACCGTATTTTATTTTCTTCGAAATGTGAAAAAAAAAAAGATTAAAATATAAAATTTCTTTTCCAGGCTGCCGGATTAGAATTGAAAGAAAACTTAAGTGCAAGTGCAGCGGCAGCATGGCCCTATCCGTCTGTGTATCATCCCTATGATGCAGCATTCGCGAGTTATCCTTTCAACGGGTAAGTAACAAATAAAAACTATCAATAAATTCAATGATTAAAATAATAATAAATCAAAACAATAATTAAATCAATAATTTTCGATATAAAAGATATTTATACATATATATAAATATATAACTTTATCATCTCACATGTTATATTTATTATTTTTTATTCACAATTAGAATATGATAAAATACAAAGAATAATAATAAGTATAATAATAATAATAATAATAAGAAAAAGAAATAGTAGTTGATATAAAAAGTAATGATTTGATGATTCTTTATTTCTTTATTTCATTTCTATTCCGAGTTCTTCACTTGTTGAAAGAGAGAGAGAAAGAGAGAATTTATAAAAGCGTATGGGTAAGATAAGCTTGCTCCGAGTGAAACACATAAACATTCTAATAAATTAGCCACGAGTTGACCCGAGACTGTCGCTTTAACCGTCTTTTCCTCGACGCCTTCGTTCTCGAATCGGTCGAGTGTCACAACACTACGCTTTAGACCGGTGAAAGGTCTTCGTTTGTTGATAATAATTTCTGATCGAATTCACGCACTATGGATTAACGTGATTTAATTTGAACAAGTCTCTTTTTTTTTACTGTCTCTCTTTTTAAGAAATTTTCAAATACTTCTTTACACACTCGAATTTTTATCTTATTTTTATTTCTCTATTTCTATTCCTCTTTCTTTTTCTCTTTGTACATAAATAAATTAAATAAACGTATACGTGTTGATATTTTATTAAGAGAAATTAGATAATCACGTTGGATTTTTATTTTATATTTCATTGGAATATTTTATTCGTGTTTTATACTCACATTTTTTTATTTTAATCGAATAATTGTATAATATTATTGAAGTAGTTTCATTGATTTTTGATTATTTTGTTTAAAGTTAATATAATAAATTAATTGTGCTTCAGAAAGTATTCCACGGTTAACTGGTAAAAGTGTGGGAAATATATTATCATTTTAATCAAAGTGTTTAATACAATTTTTAATCGAATAATTGTATAATATAATTGAAATAGTTTAATTAATTTAACTATTATGTTTAAAATTAATATAATCAATTAATTGCTTCACATGGTGATCCAAAATTTACTGGTAGAAATGTGAGAATTATATTTTACAAATTGAAATAAGAAACAAATGTTATTAGAAGTTCGATGTAAAATATTTTATATTGCAAAGTTTTATATAAAGAATAACTGTATAATATTATTGAAATAGTTTCATTGATTTGATCATCGTTTAAAATTAATATAATAAATTAATTGTTCCACAAGGTGTTCCAAAGTTTACTGGTAGAAATGTGAGAATTATATTTTACAAATTGAAATAAGAAACAAATGTTATTGGAAGCACGATGTAAAATATTTTATATTGCAAAGTTTTATATAAAGAATAACTGTATAATATTATTGAAATAGTTTCATTGATTTGATCATTGTTTAAAATTAATATAATAAATTAATTGTGCTCCACAAGGTATTCCAAAGTTTACTGGTAGAAATATGAGAATTATATTTTGTAAATTGAAATAAGAAACAAATGTTATTTAGAAGCACGATGTAAAATATTTTATATTGCAAAGTTTTATATAAATAAAATTAAAATAAGTAAAAATAAATTTTCCTGGAAGACCACGTCACTCTGTATTTATTAACCAATACTTTTGACTGAAATACTTCGTAGGGCAGAATATTTTATCGCTCGTATAAGTTACGTTGATTGATTATATTAAGCACACACAGTTAACAATAAATTATAATTCATATTATTGCGAATGAAATAATACACGAAATTTGTTTCTATTTTTTTTTTCAATTAATATTACATTACTTGTATTTTTATCAACAAACGCATGTACGCGCCCATAACATTCAACTAATTTTACACAATTTGGATTGAATTTGATTTAGAAACGATTTTCATTTAGTTCTTGAAAAACAATGACGTTCGTAAAAAAATTTGAAATGCAGATATTACGTGACACACGATTTAAGGCAATACTTACGAACCGGACAATTATTTGTTTATCATTACTTAACTGTTAAAGAATTAATTTCAATAGATTACCGGATACAAATTGAATTTAGTATTTGGTATACGTGTGCAGTAGAAATGGAAAATATTTTTTTTATCAGAGATCTTATAAATAAATTAACATTACATTTGTTATTACTTATATAAAGTTTATTTGTTGTTAATTTTATTATCAAGTGTTTCTAATAGAATTTTAAATAACATTTTTTTTTTTTTTTCGTATTTTAACTTGCAGTTTAATATGTTTTCGTAGATTTATTCGATAAATTCTGAGACATTTCACACAAATTCACACAAATTCTGATAGGTGATTAAACATGAAATGTGAGATTCTAAATTAGAAAAAATCAAATGTTTTTCATAATAAAAGGAAAAATATAATTAGATAGATTAATTGCGTTCTTATTTCATTTATATGGATAATATTTATAGACGAAAATATTTTCTATTTCTTTTTTTCGTATTTTCCTGTTTTGTTTTTCTATTTGTAAATAAGTCTATCCAATTAATTATTCATACGATTCTCATAGTCGTTAATTTTTATATTACGTAGATACATTATTCATTTAGATCAAACATTTAAATATTCTCGTAAGTATTATATTCGTAAAACACTTTTAGTTATTCGATCACTATTGATTCGAATTATTTCCTGAACGCGTTGTTGTTTACACGATTAGTTAGTGGAATCGTTGTATATCTTTATTTTACTTGTAACAATAGATTTACGTAGTTTGTAAATTTTTATTGACGTAAATAAAGTTACGGAATGATATACGAATAAAATCATTTATTTCTTCGATCGACATTCGGTATCAATTGTATTATTCGAAGTTTACATACAAAGGGTATTAGAAAATGAGATTAGGAAACCATAATATATGTGAATTTAAGTCTTATCGTAGATATATTTTCTTATACTAAATTAACGTATGAAATTATTATAATAACAATAATTTCACAATTGATTTTTATAGAATTATATTTTTATTTCAAATGTGTGTGTGTGTTTTTTTTTATATAAATTACAAATATATTTATGCGATATTTTTTAAATTGTATTTGTAAGATCTAGTAACTTAAATCTTATTACAAGATTGGATCGTAAAATATCGGATATCTTCGATAGATAAAGTCTCTGACGAAACTACGAATTTGAAACATTTGTCGGTTCAATTTGACGTAAAAAGAAAACCAAGGAATGTTAGAATTTACTATCGATTTCCAAGATAAATCGATTTATACGATCGATCGATTAGAATCTTATTGCAAAAACGATGTAAAACTTGGAAGATTAGATTGGGAAATATTTTCTATCGTGGATTGAGAACATTTATCATGAATTTATATATTTCGCAAAAAAACAATATTACGAAAGAACAGAAAGTTTGTTCATATAATAAATTGTTTAGAGAGATATTATTAAACAAAAAATTGATATTAAAATTAATTGATCATTCTAATAAAAAACCCCATAAAAGAGTGTAACAAAAAACCTAACAATTAAATAATTAAAAAATATAATAATTAAGATAAGATTTAAAACAAAAGAAAAATATTGTAATTACATAGAATAGAATATAATAAAAAGAAATTTGATAATTCGAATTAGAACCCTCGTTTTAAAACATCGTAACAAAAAGTAACCAAAAGAAAATTTTAATAAATAAACAATCTATATTAATTATCGTTGAAAAAAAAACAAACAAACAAACAAAATAAAACGACAAACGTTCGCGTACACAAAACGAAACAAGATAAATAAATATTAAAATAATAATAATAAATCGTCGTCTCGTTTGATAAACCCTCAAACAAAATTAGATCACTTCAATGAAACATAGTAGAATAAATAAAGAAATAAATGATGAAAAGAATATGTGTGAGGTTAGATTTCAACGATATTGAAACTTGATAAGGCAAGTAAGTAAGTATAAGTAAGTAAGTCGAGTATGAGTTCTCAGTCACGTATCTATCAGTCGAATTCTCCCCCGGTAAAGGCAAGGTTATACGCGGCTTGACAACTGCGTTCAGCTCATGGGCATCTAGATACTATATTGCGACGTGACGCACTTCCGGTCGGTGCTCTGAGACTGCTTCGTATGCAAGGAAGCGATCGGGTACTACAGCTTGCTTAGCATCCATTCGGTCTAGTCGCTTAGCACACCGAGCCTTCCTTTATGGGGACCTACCGCCGCTCCTCACCGGAACCGCAACACGCACTCGGCCAAAGTGTGATAAGAATTGCCGGAAGGTGATCGGACCTGCACCTGCACCTACTCACCGAACACGATTTTTTCGAACCTATAACAAAACCCCAACCCCCAATACCCACCCCAACTTTCTCTTCTTTCTTATCAATTCATCACGTAAACAAACCGTTCCCTTTATTCTTTTTTTTGGTATCCAAAGTTTCAGCACATTTCGGCAGATTATTTAGGATTTTGATATTTTTCATTAGGTATCATTTGTAGCGTGTTATAATATAAGTTATTGAGGTATCAGGTTGCTAGAGTGCTTCCTGTTCAGTTGTCTGCGTATAATTGTTTAATAGGTTTACTAGGATCATTGTTTTAATTATATATTTGTTGCTTCTTTATTTTTTATATCCAATTTTGGTATCCACATTAGGAAGATTTTTTAGCATTTAGATATTTCTTATTAAGTACCATTTGTAGCGTGTTGAAATACAAGTTATTGAGGTATCAGGTTGCAAGAGTGCTTCCTGTTCAGTTGTCTGGGTAAATTTTCTACTTACAATTGTTTAACAGGATTACTAGGATCATTGTTTTAACATATAGGTACTGCTTCTTTATTTTTTATATCCAATTTTGGTATCCACATTAGGAAGATTTTTTAGCATTTAGATATTTCTTATTAAGTACCATTTGTAGCGTGTTAAAATACAAGTTGTTGAGGTATCAGGTTGCTAGAGTGCTTTCTGTTCAGTTGTCTGCGTACA